CTCCACTGTCCACTGTCCATATATATATATATATATATATATATATATATATATATATATATATATATATATATATATATATATATATATATATATATATATATATATACTTATTATTGCTAATTATTTTCTCTATAATTAGTTGGCAACACAACCTATGTTGAGTTTATCAGCATTATTGCCAACTACTGGACCAGCATTATTATTTTTAACATGATAATAATTAATCACACGTTTGGATCAATAAATACCAAAAAATACATAGAAACAGCGTTTTTTGGTGAAAAAAAGAAATATAATTTTAAGAGAATGTAAAAAAATATCACAATGAACTCTTTTTATAGCATTAACCTCATTGTGTTTGACAGTCAGACCAGCTGGGGTTAATTGTAAAATGAATACTAACGCTGAGGAAAACAGCTGTGTTTGTGTTCATAAATCTGACTCCTCTCCCTCTGGAGTTTAGAGTCTCCCAGTAACGTAGGACTGAAGCAGATTTATTGCACTGCTGCTCAGGCTTCTCCTCTGTTTTCTTTAGCCAAAGCAGTAGTCTGATAATAATAAAGGTCCTATGTGGTATTCATCTTAAAAAACAAATACATGTATGCCCATTTAAAGCAACTCTGAAAACACAGCAAACAGCTAGTTAGCCACACAGAACTGCACATCTGATTCCTTTACAGCATCTCCAAACAGATTACAGTAACCAAGGCGTAATCCTGTTATATGTACTGTAATCTACAACCTGCTGACCCCTGGAAGCTTGACAGTCACACCCCCCTCCTGCAGCCTAGAGACAGTGTTAGCCTTGAGCGCGCCGGGCGCAGGTCCCGCTGTCCTGTGTTTTGATTAGCTGGGTGATGGAGGCCTTTGGAGTGTCTGTGTGGAAGAGGCTGCAGGCTGGATTTAAAGATATGCACAGACAGAGAGGAATGTGCGCGTCGGGTGTGTTTGATCGTAACGGGCCTGATTCGATAATCACCTGAGACCAGGGAACATCTCATTCTGAGAGGTCGGGTCACATGGCCTGATCGAGGTAAATAAATGAGATGAGGGCAGGAGGAAGGGAGGGAGGGGAAAGAAACACCAGTGAGCTCCCTCTGTTTACATGCTCTGGACTACTAAAGCCTCAGGATGAGGAGCTGTATTTGATCCACAGTGATTAAAGCATCAGCGACGTACAAAATTCTGTGTTTACAACTACCACAGATGTCTTTGTTTTCTGTTCGGCTGGACAACCAAAAAAAAAAAATTCAACAAGAAAATGGAGTAAAACTGCCTGACAGGGCCGTGGGAAGGATGTGGGATACACGGCAAACATAATAACAAACATATGATCTAGAATTGTCCTTCCTGCTCCATTGTTGTACTACAAAGCCATCAAGAAGCCCTTTGGCTTTTATAAATATGAGTGGATAACACAAAACATGCTCAGACCTTAAATTATCTTTACACCATTTCTGACTCCATATACAAAACTACACAGTTATTCCAGGTGAATAAGGCTGTTAGTCAAGAGTTACAATTTGCAGAAAAGAGAGAAATTAATCTATATTGGGGTGAAGGCTTGAGACTTGATGAACAGAAAACTACTTGCAAATTACATTTATTGTGCAAGATTTTAGTTCAGCTTTATCCAGAATTCTGTTATTTTTATCATTATATCCATCCATCTGTCGATCCATTCAATTCAATTCAGTTTATTTCTATAGTGCCAAATTCACAACACGTCATCTCAAGGCACTTTACAGTTCCCCAGATCATACAGAAAATTGATTAAAAGTTTTCTATCTAAGGAAAACCAGTTGAATGCATCGACTCATTGACTCAAATACAATCCCTCACACTAAGAATGCTTGTAGTGACAGTGGAGAGGAAAAACTCCCTTTTAACAGGAAGAAACCTCCAGCAGAACCAGGCTCAGTATAAGCGGCCATCTACAGAGGACGACTGGGGTCCATCCGTCCATCCGTCCATGCTTCTTCCCCTGCTTAGTCCTTGTCAGGGTCACTGTGCCTTTCTCTGACAGTTTATAGGCGATAGACAGGGTACACCCTGGACACGTTATCAGTTTGTCACAGGGCAACACAGAGACACACAACCATGCACACACACACACTCACACCTAAGGACAATTTACACAAGACAGTTAACCTAACAGTCATGTTTTTGGACTGTGAGAGGAAACCAGAGTACCTGGAGAGAACCCACACATGCACAGGGAAAACATTCAAACAGGAACCCTCTTGCCGCAAGGCAACAGTGCTACTCACTGTCCCACTGTGTAGCCAATAGTCATTAAATTATTGTTGCAAGCAAAGAACATGGTTTGAAAATGGAAATACGGTAAGAGAAATGCAATCGAGAAATAAAATTCTTGAATAACTTATTCAGTGAAACAGTTTTTTTTTCAAATTTCTCTTTTTTAATACTGTTTTATGAATTCCGATCTTTTCAAACTGCATTTCACAGATCATCTTCTCTTCACCTTAAGCCCAAATACAAAGGTTTGCTCTTGATGTGCACATTGCCCAATAGAAATGCTGCTGCAAACCTATAGAAATGGTTCTTCACTCCTTACTCCAGAGAATATTTAGAGAATGTGCTCTAATAAAGTTGAAAAGAATGCATCTCATAAATCTCAATCTGAAGTTTGAAAAAAAAAAAATGTATGACAGCTAAAAATATGTAAATTTTGAAAATAATGTTAAAAAATGCTGATAAGTAAAATCTGAGAAAACAACAAAGAAATTATCAAGGCTTTTTTATTTTGTTTTTTAAAGTTTCTTAGTCCTTCCTGTTCTGACTAAGGGTGGATATTAATTATATCTTCCAGGTAAGATTAGACTCCAAAGACACTTTCACAGCATTTGAAGGATTTCCTAATCAGTGTAGAGGCTGTAGTAGAAGTTTTTATGTATGTGGTGTGACTGAAAGTAAAACTACATAGGCCTATCTATGTTAAAATCAAGTCATAAGGAAGTCATATTTAAATGTCTAATCATTCTGGCTTAAAACTGTATATAAATGTACTCTTTATCAGAAGATAGTGTCCCAAATTAGAACATTTCTATTTGAAAAAAATTCAGTCTTAAAATCTGTGGGTTTTTTTTTTCGTTATCTTATACAGGCCAGTCACCTTTTGCACCTAAATTCGGCCAATCATATATCAACGGTGATCTGTCAATCAAATTTTTTCGGTCATAATATCTTGATTGATATGTCGCAGCTAATATACACAACGTTTGAAATAAGAATAATTTCCTTTCCCAGTGAGTTACGTCCCAGTGTTCACGTGGATGGACGTCTGTGTCTTCAGCAGGCGTAGAGCTAACAGAACTGGCAGCGTTGCGAGGCAAGGGCTCAAACATGTACGGCTGTAAGCCTTCTACACCAAACCAAGCTTCTGCCGTCCTGGCGTCCTCTTCCACAACATCTTCGTCCCCGTTTTTCTCCTCTAAATAAAAAATGCATGGCGGAGGAGACTCATCCACGACCTCCGACACAAAACTCTCCTCCTCTTGCATGTTTCCTCTGTCCATAGCGTTCCTTGACAGTGTCGTTTCTAAGTCACCAATTTAGTACTACTTGGTCCCAATGTAATTTCCCAATTGGAACCTACTAGCACTAAGTTGCTAACTGGTTAGCAAGATGCTTCTGAGACACCGGCCACAATCAAATGTGCTTGCGAACCTTCTGCCGCAACAACAATCCCGCCCTCTTGATAAACGGCCAATCAGGAGAATTAGGAAATGCAACGGTAGGGACGACTGTTTTCCTATGACTTTTACTCAACTTGAACCAGTTGCACTTTAGCAGAGTTAGTAAAAACTTTCCTGCTGAACCTCAGCAGTAGTAGTTCTCTTTGATTACAAAAGTAGTGGGCTCTATCTCAGTTTCCTCTTGCCAAATGATTATTTCCCCTGTAGCTAAACGGAGTGCCGTCCTCAGGTGCGCAGTGCCTACCAATCTGTGTGTCTGTGTTGATGTGTGCATGTTTGTGAGTGCGATTGCTTAAATGTGGCTAGAGAATAAAACAGTTGGTATCATTAGATTTAAGAAAAATAAAACTAAATACACATTAGGTTGTTTACCATACCTAACGCCCCTGTCAAACCTTCATGATTTAGACAGCGTATTCCTGACGTACGAAAAATCTGGTAAAAATGCTGGTATATGTCGGATAAGTTATGGGTACGTTTTTTATAAGTTATTAGGCCAGGCGCATTGCTGCCCCCCTCAGGACACTGGCTTGTGACAATTCATGAGCATTAGGCATAAGTTAGGCTGTTGTTGGACATAAGTTCTGGACTCGTCATGAATACTCTATACGCCCAAAATTGAAAAAATACATGGAAAATGCCAGCATTTTAGAAGATTCTGGGACCTCAGGCATTTGCTGGCTAAATTGTAAAGATGTTACAGCGGCTTAACTTTGTCTTAGTTTAGTGGTAGAACCGTATTAGATTCAGCAGTTATCATAATAGCAAAGTAATATTGATTGTGACATTTTCTGGTGATTAAATGTATCATAAAGCCTTTGATTACAGGATATTGTGGTTGCTTCCTGAAAGCATGCTATTACGTTTAAATGAGTCACTCTCAATGTGACACAGCATCTGTATAAAAGAGCCCAGTGGGTGACTGTGTTCATTTATTATTGCGTTTATATTACAATAACCCAGCAGAAACAAAGACGCACAGACCTCGCTCTGTGAACCCAGCATGATTCAGTCTGTAGCCCTGAGCTTCTTGTGCTTTATAAACACCGTCTTTCTAAAAGGACCTTGAGTGGTTATAGCTGGTAAAAGCCACTGGAAGTCTGCGGCGGTGATGCGAATTCAGTGGACAGAAAGGACATTGTGCTTCATAATGACGTTCGCTGCGGTAAACATAAAATCCACGGAAATGCATTCATGGTTCATCATGTGGGTTAAGCTTATGGCCATAGATGGGATGTTGTTTTCCCACTCAAATGTCTGTGTGCTGCATGAACTTACCTCGCTCTTTCTTTTCTTTGGAGAAGGAGTCAAACCTCCTGCGTAGAGACTTCCTTCGTTTGCGTATTTCTGTGAAGGAAAGAGATACAGTAAATGTTACTGCTGGATCATCTGTTGTTCATCCTGAACTGTAAAAGCTAGGCACTTCATGATCTGAAATATCTGTCTTTTATTTAGCTGTATTTTGTGTGGTTGAGATGAAACACTGAGGCAATAATGTTTACACTCTCTTGTAAACAGATGTAAATCTGCTCATAAAGTCTAACGTGTCTTTTTTCCGCCGTCTTATAAAGAATGCATCCTTAGCAATATCTCCTTCTCCTTTCTTACAACATTGGAACAAAGGGTTTCTGTAGGCAACTCTTAGCTGTTTTTTTTTAACAGCCTGCTTTCCTTTATGGTTACATGCAAGACAAAAACAAAGGTTCAAAGAAATATGTAAAAAAGAGGGATAAACACCTAATGCAGGAGTAGTAGCGCCTCCTGAATCTTTATATTTTGTGGTCAGATAACCATCAGAAGCTTTAATGTTTGCACTCAGGGCGTCACATGATTCATTGACACAAAGCTGCATGTTTGTTAAGTGGAAAATATATTTCTTTTAAATTGTTTACAAAAAAAAACCTGATATGTGTGGTATCCGTTTTTTTTTTTTACTTGACCCAGCCTGACCTGCCATAGGAGATACAGGTGTTTTGTAGCATATGCCTACCAATTTTTTTCAATTTCAGAGACTTAAATGTGTCAATATTTCACTACAGATTTAGGTCCTGACTATGACTTGGTAATTGTAACATGATATAATCTTATGATCTTATGGACTGCAGGACTCCTCTAGCTCTGGGCTACAGTCTGCAGCTCTATATAGCTATAGATGGTTCATCCAGCTTCTCTATCCCTGCTGAAACAAATTAACCCCAAAGCATAATGCTTCCACCACCATGCTCAACTGTGGCGATGATATACTCAGGGTTATGTGTGTTAGTTTGTCCACATATACAGCTAAGCATGTTGATCTAATTTAATGTCACTGGTCATTTTCACTCCTATATTTCCTTTGGTGTTCTATTCCTTTTGCTATTTTTCCCTTTCAATTTTATGTTTTAATAAGTTAAAGTTACTAAAGAGTTTGATTTTTTTTTCTTAACCAAATTTTGTAATTCCATACAAGATTTTGCTATTTAGTCATTCCTACGGATTAATTAAGTTAAGTCGAAGTCTATTGGTCAGTATGTTTAATTTTCTTTATTGCATCAGACCAGACCAGACTTCTGATGTCTGTATTCAATAGTAGTTTTCTTCTCACCCATCTTTCATAAGGACCAGAGTTTTTTAAATCGTGTTTAATCTCAACAAATAATCCCACCAAGATACCGCGTATTTATAGAAATCTCACACCCTCTCTGATATATATACTTTAATACAAATCTGATATAAACTGTTAATAAGGCTAAAATTACTGTAGCAAGAAATGACAAACAAATCACTGCTTTTTAATCAAAAGTGTTGAAAAAGCACTGAACTATAATAATAGCAATTATTAGGTCATAGTTGAAAAAAAATTTGAAGTAAAATGGTCAATTATTTCAGACAGAATTAAAATATATACAAAAGATACAAGGAGCACAGTTGAGTAGACAAAGAACAAGAAAAAAATGACAGAAGTAGGTTTAGCAGTATATTGTTTAACTGTAATGGTAGCTCTGAAAGTGGGCCGATGGAATGTAAATATATTGTATATTGTTATTAGACAAGGGGACTGAGTAAACATCCATGGGGAACTCCAGAAACAACTGTTAGTAGTGATGGTGAAAGTCTGTACATATTACATCAAACAGGCAAATGTGAAAAAAATGGGTCAAATTTAAGGTATTTCATTAGATTCACTTTTTTATATTTAATATATGAATTGTGATATTTACAGTTAAGGAAAAGTTAGCTTGTGAGTAAAGTTACTTTAACTTTTTACAAAAACAAAAGATGAAAACTTGCACACTTTTGAATGCATCCCCTGTATCCAACATTTTACAGTATTATCACTCTCAGTTTTTTTTTGTTGTTGTTGTAAAGCCACAACTGATATTTTGTTCTTCTAGACTGTCCCTGACTCCTTACCTCTTTCAAAGCAGGTCGTTTTTCTTTTACAAGCTCCACATTCTGCTTTTCTTGTTTATATGCAGGGATGTGGTGTTAAGGAATGACTAATCCATAGACTGACGGTTCTTTTCCCTATCACGTAGGGATTTGATTCACTCAAAGTTGCGCCTTCCAAAATACTTGTAACATGAGTAACAGCTTTCTTTTTTTCCACTTTACTAAGGACAACGTTTTTAAAAACAGACATATAAATCAGTGGCGGCTGGTGAAAAATATTTTTGGTGGGGCTGATATAGCCTAGTGTATGTCTCCAACTAACCCGGAATAAGAATTCAAATAAACAATTGGACAATACATACAATTTAACAGTAATGATTTAATTTACTATATAATAACAGTAACAGTGATGATTTTGGTCACTGTGACGGGGTTCTTTGGCCTCCAAGAATCCAGTCTCAGTCGGGTTACCGGTGTTGGTGATTTATTGAGCTCAAAAACTCAAAACAGGGTGCAAAAGAAGCTAAACATATACAAGATACTCTGGGCCTCAGCCTCCCTCCAGTTACCAGCAATGTAACAAAGAAACAGAAAACAAAAATTGCTGCTTTTCTTCCCACAGCCCTCATTAAATAGTTTAAGCCCCTCCCCTCAGGCTCTCTTATTTCTGATTTCTTCTCATTAATCAGTTTTGTCCATATATTACCTCCACAAACAATTGATGTACAAAAACAAATAATTTTTACAACTTAATTCTTTTACACAGATTCATTGACTTATTCAATTACACCAGTGGCGGCCGGCCCATAGGGGGCGCTGGGGCACCGCCCTCCCTGATAAGAAGAGAGAAACGTAAAATATATTTTTAGAAATTAACTCATAAATGTCAGTTTTACTGTGTAACTATAAGCAAAACAAATTATATAAACTACATTTCCCTATCTACTGTCATTAATTTGTGGATTTCCACAGACAGACTCCTACCGTCTCTGTTCTGGGGGCTGTGATCAGACAGACCCACATTTGCAGAGAATCTGTCAATCATGTACTATTGCTAGGTGAATTTAATGGCCAATCAGCGTCTCGGAACTTTATGGTATTGGGGCGCTGAAAATACTGCGCTTTTACAGGCTTCTGAACCCAAGCGCAGGTGCAGACAATTAGAGGGAAGATGGCGAATGTAACGAGCGAGATGCAGCTTCCACCAAATTCGGTGAGATCCTTATTTATCTACCCGTTTGCCAGAAGAACATCCCTGTTGTATGATATGAACATTTCATTTCATGGTTATTGTGACTGTGACGAATCCACCTCGTCGCTTAAAACAACCTCTCTAACTTTGCGCGCCACACACACATTCCTGTTATACTGTGTTTGTGAGGACCAATACACTCGCGCTGAGCCCAGTAGCTCCATTAACTTAAAACACACAAGCTGTCCTGGTTACCTGCTGGCGTATTGAGGGTGCACACTTAATATTTCAGTGGGGTTAGCCGTGTGTGTGTGTGTGTGTGTGTGTGTGTGTGTGTGTGTGTGTGTGTGTGTGTGTGTGTGTGTGTGTGTGTGGGTATGTGGGGGGTGTGGGTGTGTACGTGTTTATGCGGGGACTTGTCATCTTCAGTCTGGCTGTGTCTTTGCTGGGTTCAAACCCAGTTTGGTGTAATTGAATAAGTCAATGAATCTGTGTAAAAGAATTAAGTTGTAAAAATTATTTGTTTTTGTACATCAATTGTTTGTGGAGGTAATATATGGACAAAACTGATTAATGAGAAGAAATCAGAAATAAGAGAGCCTGAGGTGAGGGGCTTAAACTATTTAATGAGGGCTGTGGGAAGAAAAGCGGCAATTTTTGTTTTCTGTTTCTTTGTTACATTGCTGGTAACTGGAGGGAGGCTGAGGCCCAGAGTATCTTGTATATGTTTAGTTTCTTTTGCACCCTGTTTTGAGTTTTTGAGCTCAATAAATCACCAACACCGGTAACCCGACTGAGACTGGATTCTTGGAGGCCAAAGAACCCCGTCACAGTGACCCAAATCATCACTGTTACTGTTATTATATAGTAAATTAAATCATTACTGTTAAATTGTATGTATTGTCCAATTGTTTATTTGAATTCTTATTCCGGATTAGTTGGAGACATACACTAGGCTATATCAGCCCCACCAAAAATATTTTTCACCAGCCGCCACTGAATTACACCAAACTGGGTTTGAACCCAGCAAAGACGCAGCCAGACTGAAGATGACAAGTCCCCGCATAAACACGTACACACCCACACCCCCCACATACCCACACACACACACACACACACACACACACACACACACACACACACACACACACACACACACACACACACACACACACACACACGGCTAACCCCACTGAAATATTAAGTGTGCACCCTCAATACGCCAGCAGGTAACCAGGAACAGCTTGTGTGTTTTAAGTTAATAGAGCTACTGATCTCAGCGCGAGTGTATTGGTCCTCACAAACACAGTATAACAGGAATGTGTGTGTGGCGCGCAAAGTTAGAGAGGTTGTTTTAAGCGACGACGTGGATTCGTCACAGTCACAATAACCATGAAATGAAATGTTCATCATACAACAGGGATGTTCTTCTGGCAAACGGGTAGATAAATAAGGATCTCACCGAATTTGGTGGAAGCTGCATCTCGCTCGTTACATTCGCCATCTTCCCTCTAATTGTCTGCACCTGCGCTTGGGTTCAGAAGCCTGTAAAAGCGCAGTATTTTCAGCGCCCCAATACCATAAAGTTCCGAGACGCTGATTGGCCATTAAATTCACCTAGCAATAGTACATGATTGACAGATTCTCTGCAAATGTGGGTCAGTCTGATCACAGCCCCCAGAACAGAGACGGTAGGAGTCTGTCTGTGGAAATCCACAAATTAATGACAGTAGATAGGGAAATGTAGTTTATATAATTTGTTTTGCTTATAGGTACACAGTAA